GTATAGGACGCAAGCAGATTTTGACATCAAATTTTGGGGTAAAAAAGTGCGTCTTATACACCGAAAAATACGGTATATGCGAATTAACAGAACAAACACATTATTGCCTGATGAAAGCTTCGGTAAGAAGGCCTAATGCTTGCAAATAAAAGTATTTTAACGTTGAGAAAAGACCGTGTATAATTCTACATATTAATTTACCTACGTTATTAGTCTAAAACAACAGAACAAACACAAGCAGCACCACCATTTAATTCATTTGTACGAAATAACTGTTTGCAAGATGTGTAGTTACGGTTTAGCCGCCCCCCAGTAGCACAGCGGTATATCTGTGGACTTACAACGCTAGAATCCGGGTTTCGATACCCGTGGTGGGCAGAGCACAGATAGCCCATTGTGTAACTTTGTGCTTAATTACAAACAAACAATAAGTTACGGTTTAATCACCGAGAGGCGCGAAATGTTGGAAAACCAGTAAGCCTGAATATTTTTACAAAAAGCGAGTTAACTGCAGATTTTTTTTTCTATTTTTCACATTCCTCTTAATTTGTCCATTGCAGCTCGAAACCAGAGATGTGTCAAAAAATAACTTTTCAAATCTATGTTTTGTCTCTCACAAGTTGCTGCCCAATGAGCTTTTCATTCAATACCAGAACTTATCTGATGGGCTTGCTAGATGATAAGAGACAAAACTTTTATGAACGCTATTTATACATGCAGTATAATATTTTAAAAGTTATCGTTTAAATGCCAAAAGTTGGTGAAATATCGGAAAACCAATCGATCGTAAAATTGTTGTAAAAATAAGTCAACTGCTCATTTTTACCTCATTCCTCCTAATTTGTCCATTGCTGCTCGAAAACAGAGGTTTTTATAAGAAGGTATGCAGTTTTTTTTTCTGAACCATTTTCCAGTGCAAAAAAAAGTACATTCAAAGCATTTATCTATCTTTTGTTTTGTCCCACAATGGGTTAGACGTAAGTTCACAGACTTAGAACGCTAAAATACGTGGTTCGATTCCCCGCGGTGTACAAAGCACAGATAGTTCATTGTGTAGCTTTGAGCTAAACAAACAAATTATATTTTATATCAATCCCATATTATTGGTGAATCAAAGGTAAATGCTATAATACCAAGGTAATGTACTAATATCATGATAAAATACCATCTTGTAACTGTAAAGCAGTTTGAGCCTTGTGGTTCCGTTATTTATTCTTTGTAACTTGTACTTTTGTAAAGAGTTCTGTGAAAAATTTTGAACTCTTCATGTACGATCGTGTTAAGAGGATGATATGTTTCACCAAATTTCAGTCGGTGAACCTGTGGTATATAAGAATACCACGAATTTCATACTTCCCTGTATTCATATAGAAACCTTTTTAAGTTTTCGTTTGTGTAGATATGCGTAGTTTCCATATAATATGTTTATTAAGAAGGTCATTAACTTCCTTTTGCTCTAGCTACCTACAGTTTTGGATCATTCAACT